TCGGAACCAAGAGGTCCCGGGTTCGAGTCCTGACATGCCACCGATCTTGTGCCCTTGGGAAAGGCACTTTACACGACTTTCCGCACTTAACTCAAGTGAAAATGAGTATTGTCATGTCCTGTACCAACTCTGTGTTGGTGGTGGCATAACATAAGTTGATATAACTTGAGTGTGCCCGCCATGTGTTGTCATGAAATGGTCGTCGCCTTTCCGAACGGTCGTCGCCTTTCCGAACGGTCGTCGCCTTTCCGAACGGTCGTCGCCTTTCAGAACGGTCGTCGCCTTTCAGAACGGTCGTCGCCTTTCAGAACGGTCGTCGCCTTTCGGTGCCATATCGCTGACTGGTCGATGCCATATCCAAGTGTATCAATACTTTTTAAGGTCCAGAAACATATAAGACGTATTATGTACCAGGAAAGGCAACATTTGAATTGCAAATGTAAGGGAGGATCATGAAAAAAAGGTAAAGGTATAACGTTTAGTAAAAAAAAGGAAAGAAAGGCAAAAGCTCGGATTCGAGCCCTAGTCAAAAAGCGTTGAGGTAAAATAAAGTTATTAGCATCAATTGCTGATATAGTTTATTAAATCTTTCTTTGCCTCTCGTTCCCAGCTCGGAGAAGACGAACCCCTGAGTACGACCTCCGGGAACAGCTGTTGGAGAGGGAACAGAAGTGGGAGGAGCGATGGATGCAGAGCAAGCTCAGAGCCGGCGGGGGGATGTAAACTCCACGGAACACCAAACTGAGATCCGTCGGGGGAGGATGTACACTCAATAGAACATGCCTATTTGTGCTACATTGTACTTGTTTCATAGTAAACCTTCATAGCAACGCTTTGTTATGTACCAAAACTGTTATTTTAGTTTGACAGGAACGCAAAAATTATAAATGTTATGGGTTGTTTTGTTTTCTTAAAAGTTGGTAACTATATTTGTGTTCAATCCTATTCAATGTTCCTGACCTTGTACATTTCTGTGCGTAACGACAACAACCTGGTCAAAGGGTTTCTTCTTTGTAAAAATCCAAAGTTATCGAGTGATATAGTATTGCCGTGAAAGGACACCTCATACATAAATAGATTTTGTACATAGTTTCTATTGTGGATTTCTAAAAAGCGTCTGACACATGAAAACGACCGAAACCGCTGTGGCAGTCATGTATGTTGGACTAAAACATCTGCATTGCAGACATTGTTTGAACATTGACCGCATACAAATGTATAATACATTTCCGAATTCTTTTGAATAAAGGCCTTTTGCTGCATTCCTGTGGTTAATGTTCTGTGCTGTTTTTTTATGCAAGAACAATGAGCTCTTCTCAATGAAATTAGAGCATGTCTATATAAGAAAAGTACATCCAACGTTTTTTCTGTGAGTCTGCTTTATTTTTGTTCTATTCTTTTTATAGAGCAGTAAATGTTAAGAAAACAATGCAGTTGTGGACAAAGATACGACACTTACACGGTTCAAAGAGTTTATTTTTTGTCAAAACTTCTTTTTGTGCTAGTATTTTGCGTTATGTTTCCGTGCACACACATCGTGCGATCGTCCAAGTTAGATCGGGGCGTCGCTGGCAGTGAAATTTGACTCAAATTTGACTCAAATTCGATTCAATTTGCTTAGAAATGTAGGCGAGGCCCAACTCTGGTCAGACAACTCCAGAACTTCAACCAACTTTGGTCGGCTGTTGGTCTGGAAAAGGTTCTGAATGTGTGGCAGGTGCTTAAGCCTCATGAAAAGTCCCCCATGACTCCCATGATGCCTTGCGAGGCGACCTGCTGCGTTTTCTAGAACTCCACTTTCTCTAGGAGTTTTAGTTTCCTTTCTAAGCCTTTTTCCTTAGTTTTTCAAGTTTTTCCGTTTCGTAACCTCCCGGCAAAGATACCAGGATAAGGTTGGGAGGTTCCAGCTCACCTGAAGAGGAAGATCACAGAGACAGAGGCCTGAGCAATCTCAGGTTAACAGGGGAAAACAGAGCCAAATCTCATGAAAAGTCATGGAAATTTGTACTAATGCCGAATCAGGGGACGTTACTCAATATTGATTCTTCTGTTGAGGCTTAAAAAGAGTAGTCAAGCTGGCCGTCGTGCGACAGTTCAAGAACAGAAAAGGATTTGTCAGGGGACAGGATCTCAGCTATTCTGCATGCAAACTTCTGACTGTTGAAAGATTCACGGACCTTGACTGTACTCAAAGATAAAGAATTTAAATCAGCCGAGTTTTCATGGTAAACAAACCTGAATAGCGTACAGAATAAAGCAGGTTAAGCGTCAAGGTGCCGTGTTTTTACGCTTAGGTAACACATACAGTCGTCATTGACTTAAGATAAACAAAAGACTCTCTAAAAGGAAAAAAAGAGTATACAGAATTGTAATATTTTGATTAATTAGACCGACACTACATACATAAAGAAAATTGATCAGATTTTTCATTGTATAATTCTTATCGTAGATTTTTGAATTTTAGACATTTGACAGACGAAAACGACAGAACCCACTGACAAAACCTAGCGATAGCGTTAAATGGTATTAAAAACGTGTTAATTGTGTGAAAAAAAAGGAAGCGGCACACTTCTAGTATTATAGCATCAAACAGAATAATGATCATAAGGAATAGAATTTATATTCACGTAAAACAAAATAACACGATAAACAAAAAAAGAAGATCGCGTAAGATTAAGATCAAAAATAACCCAAGTGTCCTTGGAAAGTTAACGGTGTTTAAAGATGTTTAGACTCGAAGTTATCCATGGTTAGAAGCTTTTACGTTTCTTGATGACAAGCGTTACTGATAGCTAAGGGAGACAGATGCTTCTTTACGTCAAACGACCATGAAAACGACTGCCGAAGTTTCACAGTCAAACATCTATGTCTAAATGCTACCCAGTGCTGTAGTCATAGTTTAGAATCTCTTTTCCAAAATGACCTTACGTAGATATCACTTCATACAACTATAATACTTCAGGAAATTGTACATTTATGGTGATCACACATCTATAGGTTGAATTTTGAAGGAGAGGACAAAAGAGATGTATACAAAGTGTTAGAGGATGGTTCTGCTTTTTCTCAGCTGTATTTGAATAGCTTTTCCAATGACCCATTTTGCCAATGGTTTGTGGTCGCCAACCGTGTAGGTAGGTGGGTCCAGGTAGGCTCTTTTCACCGGAACAACAAGGCGTACTCCCTGGCTATGCAGGGCTTTGTCAATAACTTAAGGATTTCGCAGGCGAGGGGGAGGCAAAAAGCGTGAAGATCCTTGGACCGTGCAGAAGACCTCATCCCTCTTTTAGGCTGTCAGTAGCGCAGGTCGGCGCCGGCGGTCGCTAGGTACTTCAGCACACAACCGTGCAGGTAATCGCCGCTGTGTTCGTGTGGACATCCCGGGAGGTTTGACACTCTTTCCCGGCGATAATTCGCATCGTCCGCGTTGGATTCAGTACAAGGTATGATCACGTTATATTCTTTGTTTTCTTCCAATTCTTTAAAATGTCTTGTTTTGTTTGTAGTGTAGTGGGCCACTGTTATTCTTGAAGATATATCACTAATGATACGTGGTGGGGAGGGGGAGCATTTCCTAACGCTGCGGGGACACCTATATATTGTGTTGCTGTCTTTATGGGCAACTAAGATTCTTTAGCGTAAGTCTCTACTCAAAAAGCTATATAGAGTCAACATTCAAAGTAAAGTAGGTCTGGGTTTATGTGTGTTTGTGTGTGTGGGTGTGTACACGTGTTTATATGTGTGCGTGTACATGTATATTTGTATGTGCGCGTGTGTGTGTGTGTGTTTGAATGTGTATATAGGTATGTATTTATGTGTGTGCGTATGTGCGTAATATGTAGATGGCCATGTGTCCAATGTACCTGTTTGTTTATGTGTGTGTGTACCGGCAATACAGATACATAAATGTATGTGTTCGTGTGTGTGTACATTCTTTTGTGTATACGTGCGCGTGTTAGAAAACTTTGTTCCCAAAGTTAATTATTGACAATGCAAACTTAACATCCTTCAACAAACAAGAAACATTTCTAGGAAATGGATTTTGTAATACAACATATAAAATCATTAAAAATGTATCTCCTTTCATAACAGAAATCCCACCGCTGACACCATGTCGGCAGGAGGCCTGCTGAAGCTGTGCTGTCTGGTGTGGCTTCTGACAGCAGAGTTACCGACACAGGTCACAGCCACCGAGTTCTGTACGGTTGCCCAAGTCGAAGGCTGGAGGACCTCGCAGCTCGCCTTGGTTATCCTTAATGCTTTTACGGGACAGGTGGCTGACGTGGACGCAGAGAACGCAAGAATCAACGCAGAGGCCGACGCCGCTATTGCAATTCTGAACGCAGAGGCAACCTTCTCTCAACTGTAAGTCTGTTTGTTTGTTTGTTTCGCATAACCAGTAAACCACCTGCAGCTACAAAACACACCAGTTTTGCACATGTAAGGCCACACCGATTTAATTTTATGGATGACATCCTCTGAAGACCCCCAAACTAGTGCGCGCGGGCGAATAAAAAAAAATTCCGGCCAAAAATAAAAATGCTACTAAACCACAGGAATACAAAGCTGGTGTTGTGAATTTGCGGCAGTACTTAGCAACGTATACGACATGCTGGGTTTTTGCGGCATTTATGAATCGGTACTGTACTTATGTACTGAGTTCTTGAGTCGCGGAGCTTCGAATTCGATAGCCTGGGTGCTAGGCTCCGTTTTGTCGCTGATGATGACTACCATGGACTACCCAGGCCTAGAGCCAGGCCCGAGCCTCGGTGGACTTGATCTCTTTTTTTTTTTTGAGGGTGACAGACGAAAATCAATGCGCGCGCGGATATCATCCATACAATTAAGTCAGTGTGGCCTAAGTACAAGCTGCGTAAGGTTTGAACCACTCACACCGGGAAGAAGTCCTACTCTTGTCGATAAGTGCGGTGGGTTCGCCCCTAACAGCTGAAATAGAAATGGAATGGCAGTTGCCATGTCCGCCTTACCTTGTACCATGTATTACATCTCCTCTTTTTGTCACATACATGTAACGTTAAGTTGATTAAATAGATATAGAATCTTAGATAGAACCTTAGATTAGTAGAAATTTAGTAGAACTTCATGTTAGCATATGGTTTTATACGATTCTTCAATACATTCTGTACTCATTGTCCTTGTCAGTTTCTAACTAGCCCTAGATTGTAAGATTCGCTGGTACTATAGAATATGCCATGACCAATATTTGTTTGTGTTTTTGGTCCTCAGACCCAATGTCTGTACGGGTAGTACCTCGTGCCCATGTACGGAGTCGTACCAACAGCGTTACTCAACCAACTGTGGCATCTTCGGACTTGGATGGTCAACCTGTACTGAGTAAGTACATTGTACAATCTGTATCACCTGTACCTGGTACATATAACGGGAAGGTAATGCGTGTATATAGGAAGAGATAATGTTGTTGATTGGCTCATGTGTAATTGGATCAATCCATATTTGGTATTGACAACTTGAATGTGCCGTGAATGAAACGTTGTACAGAGTACGCACATGTAGAATCTGCAGCATCTGTTACGATTGCCGTACGATCGCAAGCCGACGGCATTCTTCGGATTGTCGTGCATGTGTGCTTTAAAATTCAACTGACTCGTTTATGAAAATCCTGTCTTAGATCCTTGTCTGTGATTGGCTCTGCCACAGCCTGTTTTTTTTTTAAGTTTCGGAGGCGTCGGGTGGTGTAGTGGTTAGAGCAATCGACCATGAACTGGGGAGACTCGGGTTCGATTCCGAGTCGTACCCGGTACATGTCTGAACATGCGCCCCGACGTTGTGCCCTTGGGAAAGGCACTTTACACGACTTTCCTCACTCCACCCAGGTGTGAATGGGTACCTAACTTCGGTTGGGGAAAGTCGTATTGAGGTCACCTTGTGGCGCCAAATGGCAGCCGCACAGACCCTTGCGACAGTTCCACAAAAAATAATTGTGGAACAAATACGTGTATCATGTGTATTATTTGATTGTTGTAATTGTTGTGATTTGTATTGATTATTATATGATACCCTGCATCAATTCAGCCGTATAAAGACTGCGACTGCACGGGTACTGTTTGGACAATAAAAACCATTTATTAGTAAGTTTGTTAGGTCTTTACAATGTATAAATTGTGTCATAACGGTGCATCCTTCTATTGGTAGTCATTCTAAACAATTAGAAACAACAGAAAGTTAATATAATATGTGTTCAGAGACAACGTTATTGATTGGCTGACGAGTGATTAGTTCAAGCCATATTTGGCATTGACAACAACGACTTTTTCCCCAACAGGTACCGAACAGGATATCGGGAAACAACCTGCCCCAAAACAACATATTTCTGCTGCAGTGGCTACGAGCACACTCAAAACCGATGTATCCGTAAGTACAAGCCAGCGAATAGATATAAACTTCATTTTAGGTAAAATTTTGTATTTACGTACATGATGTTTTTCCTGTATACTTTCCAAACATTGCAAATACTACCACTAATAATAACTGCAAACCTGTTTCTTGAATACCATTGTAAGCAAACTACTAATATGCAGATCTTTCTGATAGCTGTTAAATTTATAGAAAGTTTATTGCAAATTCATGCCCGAGGGCTAATTGCAAGAACATGATAACAACAGTATACAGTAGAATGATAATAAGTGATGCTAATGCTACTTTATATATACATTTGTAGTTATTGTTGGGTTTGATTTCTTTTCCGTGTGCAGTGGAGTATGAAATGGCCGACGTTTTGCGAGATATATGAATTGGGAGGTGTTAATAGAAATGCAGTTTTTTGTAGGCTGGGAAGGTGAATAAAGCTGGGGAACATTTTGGTGGCCATTTCAAATAACTGATCTCTTTCGGTGCTATAATGAGAGCAATGACAAATAAAGTGCATTTCATCCTCCACTGCGTTTCCTGTACAATATTTACAGGAATTGTTAAAAACCCTGCCAATAGTAACCCGGCCAACCTCCGTCAAACATAAAAATGCAAATAATTGACGCACATACTCTCTCATTGGTTGAACATCTGATTGTTATTCTCTCATTTGCTGCACTGCTAATTGTGATGGACAGTTTGGGACCGGTCTAACGTTACGAGTTCTTTGAAAGAATACAGTTGACTCATTGTCTATGCCCCCTTTTCCCACTAAGACAGAAAATAGTATGGATCTAGCCGAATAGATTCGCTTTGATTTAGGCTTCGATCTGATATGTTTCACTGTGTTGGTCTCTAGGAATCTGTACCGACCCCCTGTGTAACTCTCACCTGTGCGACAACGACCAGTGCCCAGGGTGTGTTCACGACTATGGACCCGGGGCGAGGGCGTATGACGCTTCTGGAATGAACTGCTATCGTAAGTAGGAAACTATTGTGGCGTCGGGTGGCGTAGTGGTAGATCATTCGACTGTGAACCGGGAAGACCCGGGTTCGATCCCCAGTCGTACTCGGGACATGTCTGGACATGCGCCCCGACGTTGTGTCTTTGGGAAAGGCACTTTCTTACTCCACTTCCTTACTCCACCCAGGTGTGAATGGGTACCTAACTGTGGTTGGTATTGAGGTCACTTTGTGGCGCCGAATGGCAGCCGCACAGACCCTTGTGGCAGTTCCACAAAAATGTGGAACAAATATGTATCATGTGTATTATGTGTATTATTATGTGTACCATTTGTATCATCTAATTATAAACCCTGCATCAATTCAGCACTATAAGGCTGCGATTGCACGGGTGATGTTTGGCCAATAAACCATTTTATTTAGGACGTCACAAGATTTTTTAGCAAAGAAAGACAAACTAGCATTATGTGACAGAATTGAACAGTAAATCGGATCCTTGCCCAATGTTTCAACTGAGTAGCATGACCTTGGCAAGGAATGAGACATCCACCACTTCTGTGACGCCCTGACAAGGATCACTAGTTGTAGGAAGTTTGTGGCGTCCCCGACCCGGCCAATGTAGTATTCTAGCCAATCTACTATAAGGTGCAATGTATTCTGAAGTATACCTTAATTGAATCTATACCAGACTGTGAAGACATACGTCTTGTAGAGAGTGTAATAGTATTAATAGCACGTCGGCAGAACGTCTAATATAAGGTCCTATTTACTCATATAAGGTTCTGTAGTTTCCAAATGTTATGTAGGAAAAGATATCGTCTGCAACAGGCAAAATTCTGATGCAACGTTGACCAAAAATCCAACGAAAACCACGAAAAACAAGGTTTTGCGCAGGCGCAGTACGTTCTGCCGACGTGCTTGACTGACCAATCATGGAATGCGATTGCCCCACCAATCACAATCTTTCTTTCAACAGAACGATGCTCGTGGAGAAGTGACAGTAACCTGTGTTTCCCTGGATCGTGTGGCCGGATTGAGACCTGCTCGTGCACTTCTGGTTTCACTGGTAGTCACTGCAGAAACAGTAAGTCTATTATTACTGTGCAATACTCATTGACGTTAACACGTAGAATATATACACGTATATTTATGGTTTCACCTTGATTTTTGATTGATTGATTTGATTTTATTAGTTTGCACATAAACAAAACAGACAATAATAATATAGTAATAATAACAAGGATAAAACAAGTGCAGGAGGAGGGGAGAAGCATGGAATGCTTATACAAGGCCCTCCTCCTCTAAACTATACAAAATTAAATATAATCAATAAATGGAAATAATACAATAGAAGATGGAAATAATACAGTAAGGATAATAAAATAATGTACGGTATAAGTTAATGCCAATGAAATAAGGTAATGTAAGTTATAAGTACAGTGCAATAATGATAATGATGATAATTGGTATGAGTTAAAATAAGAGAAAAACACTAAATGAAACTACCTAGGGGGCTAGGTTCATTTATCAGATGGTTTTTCAAAGCTTGTTTGAGTAAGAGAAGAGACAAGGTAGGATTCTTTAGGACTTGAGTTAGTTCGATAGTTTGATCGATTTACCTTAAAGATACTCTACGTTTGGGATCGCATTCAAAACACTGCAGCAGAGACACCCAGCTGCATTGCGAAGTTGAACAAGCCAATATTGCCCCGAGTAAGTTGACATACGGTTACCAAAACGTTGACTTTTACAGGGCCCAACTGCAAAGCAGTGTTGAGTGGACCACTCTGTATAATCATGTCGGAAAATAAGCTAACTAAAAGTAAAGACTTAGTTGTATATAAAGAGCTTTTGGTACATTTATCGTTCAAGTGTAGAGTATTGAACGTAAATATATGGTAGATACATCTGGTGATAGGCATTTAAGGACGCCTTGTATAATATTAACAGTTATAAGAATGCCGTGGGGGTTTTTGTATGCAATGAACGAGATATTACGGGATGGTTCATCTGACAAAACTCGGTTCCTTTTCAGTCCAACAGAAGCCAACGTTCACGAGTTGGTTAGGAAAGCTGCACGACAGCTCCGGTGGAACGTCTGAGTTGGACCAAAACAACCTGGATGTCTGGACCAACAAGGTACCGTACCTGGCATACAAGTTCGTCTGTGTTGGCACATAACACAGAGCCAAAATATGGTCCTGCACGAAGACTTAAGCGCGCACGTAGAATTTTAGCCTGTCCTATTGACGCCTTCTTCATAATTCAAGGGTAAACAACTTGAAATGAGTAGTAGGGAGTCTATATCACCTACCGTCTCTGTTGGGTGTCCGAATCTTTATTCTTCTTACGAAATACTATCAAATAGCATATGTAAAGTTTCTGGTAACAGTATGGTCTGGCGATTCAATGCACTAACATTTTGTGTCGGAACAAAGTTTCCTCTATATATTAATAGATTATGGCGCATTTCCTTTGAATTTTGATTGTCTTAAAATACCGCTGCTCAAAACCCTATTTTTAAGCACACAGCGTGCTTTAAAAACCTTAAAAAGATTACCGTTTTTATTTCATGTAAAGAAACAAGGCCTTTATTGATGGTGTGATTAAAGATCGAATGTCATGTGGAATTGAACAGTTTTTTCTGGAGTTTTGTTTGGAGAAAGGTCCCGGTAGCTTTTGCACAATGTATTTAGACGAATGACGTTTATTCCCTCAGGTCCCCACCAATCTGGAGTTTCTATGGTACCATGCCTACACTCCACCCAATCCTGCCAGACCTTCTTACATTCGGGATTTCAAAGTTGGCATCATGGAGAGCAAAGTGACCTGGAGCCACAAGAGGAACACTCGTAAGTTGTGCCAAAAAAAATCAATGATTTCTTACTATAACCCGTGAATAGTTTCATCAGTTTGGTAAGTCACTGAGTAAAGGGGCTTTTTTTTACACAACCAGACTTTTATTCAGCCGACGTTTCAGTGACCGTCTGTCACCTTCCTCAGGGCAATTCTGACTGGTTCACATGGCACTGCAGCACATGTGTCGCGATTGTGTATATATATATATATATCCAACTTCCGCACGTTTGGGAACGCATTGTAGATACATTTCCCTGTAATCCAATCACGCATATGTGTAGATATGTAAATGCTGTACATTTGGGAATGCATCTGTAGCAGAGACACCTGTGCTGCAGTGCAATGTGAACCAGTCAGATAGGAAGGTGACAGACGGTCACCGAAACGTCGGCTTAATAAAAGTCTGCGTAAAAAATAGTATCTTTATTCAGTGAGTTACCAACCTGAGGGAACAATTCACGACTTTTGACAGATCAGACTGTTACTAGTGGTACCATCAACTGTGACCTGGCTCTCAGTAGAGATGCCCCTCCTCAAACCACTACCATCGACTGTACCAACAACCGAGTCACGTCACTCAATATCATACATGGAGACACGTAAGTAAAGAAAAGAAGGGGCTGCTCTAATCGCCTCCATAGAGCGGCATCCTTGGAGCTAGTATAGCCCCTATAGTGACACAGCCTCTATATAACAACTATATAAGAACTCACCGATGGTTTTAAACTCAGTCGACTTGTGGTCATTAGAAATTTCATGTTAAAACTATCAAGATGAAATTACTTTAATCTATGTTACCTGATCTAGTGATTCTAGAATAGATACAAGTAAGTCTATCGCTTCCCCCGTCTCTATGACCGTTGCAAGGCCTTAATGTAGATGGATTAGGAGTAGAGTTTTAATATGCAACTATAAATATATGAAAAAAATCAATCACATATAAGCTTAAGATGTGTCTTTTCAAATCGCAAGGTCTTTTTTCGGTTCTTTCACGCTGTTTTTTTAGTTTTGCAGTGTATGGTAATCTAATGGTTGATGTTCTGCGTTTGTATGTAGAATTGAGATAGAATTGCAGTGCATAGGACTCTAATGGTTGATGTTCTGTGTTTGTATGTAGAATTGAGATAGAATTGCAGTGTATGGTAATCTAATGGTTGATATTCTGCGTTTGTATGTAGAATTGAGATAGAATTGCAGTGTATAGGACTCTAATGGTTGATATTCTGCGTTTGTATGTAGAATTGAGATAGAATTGCAGTGTATAGGACTCTAATGGTTGATATTCTGCGTTTGTATGTAGAATTGAGATAGAATTGCAGTGTATGGGACTCTAATGGTTGATGTTCTGTGTTTGTATGTAGAATTGAGATCGAATTTTCTGCCAAGCTCGGTGGGTTCTTAATGTACCACGACTACGATGCCAATCAGAACTACAGACGGGACTTAACGGACGGGCCGTACGAAACGGAAGCCTCGGGGGCGAAGTGGAAGTAAGTATATCAAGTTATAGCTTCTTTAAGACTTTTACTTTCCTCAACTCTTGAGTCGAGAAATCCGCGAAATATGAAATCCTCGGCTTCCTGAATTCACCCAATGCCGACCACAATAACGCTCCCAGCCTGAAAACTAAACTTAACGTTCACCCAATTTCCTGTGTCTGACGTTTTGACATCCTGTCATTCTGCCTGTCAATCTTTCCCAACACAGGTACTGTCAATCTACTCTTTCCTTTCATTTTTCATGTGTACTCTTCACGAAGTAACAGGTAGAAACGTCCACCTAAAACAACATTTCAGAGTCTGTGTTTGACAAGTGTGATTGGTTCATTTATCTAGTGTATGATAACGTATTGTCATCTGTAATTGACGCCATTTAAGTCTATCTTATTCTATTCTATTCTATTCTATTCTATTCTATTCTATTCTATTCTATTCTATTCTATTTAAAGTTCAGGAAGAGTTCTAGATTCCCTGAAGGCCCACAGCGACACTTCCATAGTGTGTATGGAAGTTATATCCCTTGGAAGTGCGGTGTGGCAGGGCCGCGGAAGAAGTGTATGGAAGTGTCGTTGTGGGCCTTCGTAATATTCACTCATCATTTTCAGGTATGACTCCACCACACCAACCCATTCCGGGACGTTTGCGCAGATGTTGGACGTTGGTGAGCCCTTCACAAAACAGGTTGGACCATTCGATGTGTCGTATAGTGTTTCACCGACTTGTTCTACCTCTCTTTTCCGCGAGATGGCGTTTGCCATTGGGGGGGGGGGCACTGAGCCATACGCAGCACTGTTTTACAGATAACTTCTTTACACTAGGGCTGGTTTGAAATCCAGTTATATATGACCCCGTCACTTGATAAAAACTGATGATGACATATTTCTATTTACTTTAGGTCAAAGTTACAAATCAAAGAAAAGTGCAATGCTACATGCTTAGATGTACCGTAGGTTACGACTTTTTTCTTAAAACGGGGGAAATTGATGAGCGTGGAAATGTCATCCCTATGATCATATCAATGTGGCCTGAACTTAATTTCAACGTCAATCTTGAATCTTAAGACCAAAAATAGATTCACCTCATGTTGTTTAAAGTTAAAACTTTTGATCCAACACAAGAAATACTCTCACCTAGAGCTTTCGACCAGTTACTCTGGTCTTCCTCAGTAGACTGACCCAGTGAAGCTTGTCAAGTGGCTTCTTTGAAGTGTGACGTCATCACTGGGTCAAAGGTATCTGGTAGACATTGGGTCAAAGGTATCTCATGTTTTTAGGGTTCTATTACGGTCCGTTGGAGTGGCTGGAGTGATACTGGGTCTGGTATACAGAACTACCACATCTGGGTGTACCGTATGGACCATACACAAGGGGACACACTGACGGAAAGCGCTGCTCCTTGGATAGACGGTAAGTTGGTCAAATTAATAAATATACAATATATATACATATGTATTGGGATGGTCGCATTACATTAGGTTTTTAAGAAGAATGTCGTCCCTTTGTCGATTCTAAAAAAATTAAATGCAAACGCTGTAGGGAATGCGAATAAAGGTGAATGCATTGTTTGATGCTATTCAATCGGGTATTGCACCAACTCCTGAATTCCTCCACATACAGCCCAATTACTCCTACCTAGTGCGTACGTTCTGGGTCATCTTTAGGCTTGGCATTTGTATCAATCATTTGCCCAAATCCCTTCCCACCCACCTTTCAAGCCAAGCAATTAGGATAGACAGAGACACAAATCCACGGCTCAGCCACCCAAAACAATACTTCCGTACCTAGAAGTAAGTATAGAGTTACTTTTTTTATAATGATCAGGCAATCATTTCTTTTTATACAATACAGAGACCCTGGAGTCCTCCGTGAGTCAGTACACGATCAGCATGGCTGGTGAGGACCCGGGCGTGTTCTCTGTGGTGTTGAATATTGAAGACGCCTCTGGTGGACTGGAAGCAGGGAACATGGAGGTACCACTTTAAACTAATATAACTAGATAATGTGACCAGTGATTTGTAATTTCTTTGATCACTTAAGTTTGTGTGTCACTTTATTATCATACATTACATTATTTTGCATTACTTTATTATCTCATTGGTACTTTTTGTTACAATTATTGTTATTAGCATTTCCTAAATGTGGTCGGGGAGTTGTAAAGGCATTATTGGGCCTGTTTGCCATTTTTACATGTAATTATATGTAAATAAAGTTGAAATAGATAAAAAAAACTGACAATAACAGCCTCCAGTTGTGACGTGACGTCGGAAACACGTGATTGCAGCAAAGGGTCGTACGTGTGAGGTAACCTGTGTCGCCCCCCGTCTCTGTTTAGTCCTTTTGGTCATAATGAAGTATACCAACACAGATGAACGTTCATGCTAGTATCCAAGCAGATCTTTCGGTGGCAAGACAGTATCCATTGACCAGAGGATACAGAATGGTCAATGGGTACAGGATGGCCAATGGATACTGTCTTTTGCCACCCAAAAGAAAGATCTGCTTGGAGATTACGTTCATGCTAAGATGCTGACGACATTTTCTGATACATTTTCTGCAGAGGACACGTCGGTTTTACTTGTACGACGCTACATCAGACATCACTATTGACACCAGCGCTGATCTGGCTGAGAACGGTGACATGTGGATCTCTACAACTGTGGTGGACACGGACTACCTGGTCAGATGTTCACTTTGTTTTCTGTTTGTTAGTTTGTTTATCTCTATTTTCCCCCGAAACAGAGACGTATGTAATGGCATGTATAGAAGTAGGGGGGTAGATACCTGAATGCTAGACCTTCCCTTTTTGAAACTTGCCTTACAAGAATTGCTAACACAATATTAAAATTGAGATAGTGACTTAAAAAAACACGAATAGTGTGAAATTGATACTAATAGAGATCCTAAACAAACAAACAAACAAACATTCAAACAATATATAGTGCTATTAGTATGTAAGGGCATTGCATTGTCGTAAAATATATAAATCTATTTTTGTTTTGGAATTATGTGTGAAACAGTAGGAACTAAAAGTTGCAAGAATCACAAAGAATCATAGAGTCACCATTTCTCATAGAAACATCACAAGAATCACAAATATTCATAGAAATTATGATTTTTTTTCATACAGTGGCAGCAAAATCTTGACCAATTCATCACCGTCGAGTATTTTGACCACTTCATCCAACAAACCCACCACCGCGGCAAGTTTCTGAACGCCATCGGGACGTTCACGGCACCGTTGCCGGCAGCTAACGACGACGTGGACACCACGGAACGGTCCCGCCAGGCTATCGTCAACCAGAAGGGAGTGGTCACTTTCGAGGTAAGCAAAACAACTTTTTGTTGCTCCTTTTCGTCCATAAGATACCATAAGGTATTGACTATAAAGGTCTTAATATTAGATATAGAAATACGCTTGGAAAGGACTATGTAAATTTATGGATGGATACATAGACAGGCAGATAGAAAGATGGGTACTAATATGATATTACGTAAATGTAAGTATAACGTGGATGGATACATAGACATGCAGATAGATAGAAAGATAGGTACTACTTTGATATGTAATACGTAAATGTAAGTATAATGTTTGACTACGGCCCAAAACAGCTAAATAAACAATATACCCCTGAAGTAAATGCTATAGCTTCTACGTGATGCTGGCGTTCTTTGTAACGTGTTAAATCAAATAATCAAATAAAAAGTACAGGAAAGTAACGATGGAATCTCTGTACCATTCTACCCTCTCTTTCCAGACGTCCTACCATGTAGACCACCAAGGAGGAACAACGAAGGCTCCGGGTGCGTGGACAAGTGTGGATGATCTGCACGCCGGGTCCCAGCCTCTTACCATCTCCAGGTACGTGCACCTCCCCGATTAGGCACGGCTGTTTGGGGTTACATATTTCCTGTCGGACGAGACCTTCAAGCTCCATGACGCCTGAGACTAAGCTTCAGGCGTCAAGAATTAAACACAATTGTCGAGAAGAGTATAGATGACAAGTTGCTTCGTCTCAAGCATTAAGCTTACGGTATGTTGCCTCTGTTGGGGCCTGCTTCCATACGTCGTACGATTGTCATACGATCACAAATATACTTAACTTGCATTCTTGGCATAGCCGTGCATATGTCCCGCAATTTTAGGCGTCTTCTTGCTAAAAAAAAGCAATGTTAGATTCTGCAGTCGATTTTCTTACAAATTGAAAGTTACGTACAGCATCAAAATCGCACGACAAATTACGACAAATTGTGATCACACCTTAAGACTTTGACCTCTGTCTCTTTTCTTACAGGGTTGACGGTGACACTGTAACAGTCTACATCCGGGCAACTGACATCTTGGAGAACCAACAGATGGACGAAGTATCCATCCATATCGACAGCTCTCCTCCAATCATAGAAGACTTCTGGCTGGAGAAAAATGGCATCGAAGGCATAACTGTCCACAATGCCAGAGAACTATACGACTGCCTGTAAGTTACACAAGGAGTTATGATGCATATATGTGATCATTCTTTGTTGGCACTTAATACATGTTGAAGGTTGTATATTAACTAATATATTCTATTATAATCTACAACATTGCATAGAAATGTTTCTATAATTCTTTCCTGAGGGGAGTTAGGAAAGCTCTGTGTACAGTATAACCCAACACAGCGACGGGAGCCGATACAGACTTCCATCAACCTTTGACCCGGTGTTTACGTCACACTTCCGGAAGGTGACGTGTACTGAGCAACCGGGTTCTCGGGTATTCTAAAGAAGACAACAGAAGTGGTCAAAAGGTTTTACATAGGAGTAAAATTAAATTATTTTTCCTTAATATAATTTTTCCCCGGTTACAGGGTGAAGTTCACAACATACGACATCCACAGCGGTCTGTACACTATCTACTGGAGACTTGTGGACATGGCGGACGAGTCCATTGTCCACGGGGACGGCAACTTGGCAGTTCGCGTGGAATCTGTAAGTTGGTTATACACAACATCAAGCCTAGCACACTATCATAATCAATGTTAGAATTAACCATTTCTCTGATTATATATATATTTTCAACCATTATTATCATGATTATAATGGGTTCTAATATATGTAAATTTGTAGCAACATTTGCTCCTTTGATATCTTTAGTAACATAACTCAACTCAACACAACTGAAGAGTTGAGGATGGTTGAGAAGATAACGAGACCGCATTATATGGAAATAGTTTTCGACTGAATATAGGCCCCCCGTATCAAGTGTGAAGTAAAATGGCCCAAAGAACGACCTAATAGCAATGCAAAATAAGACCTATGTGTTATGGAGTCTAATAAAGTTATGACACTACCTTTTTCCAGGATTCTGAGCCCTGTACTGCAGACACGTGTAAGTGCACCCCCATGACTCCCTGCTACATGACCAAGTACGAGATAGCGCCCGATGCCTCCAAGATGGCCATTCCCATAGGAGAACACGACAGTGACTACTACTTCTACGTCACCGTCACCAACCGTGCTCGACTGTCCACCACCGAGAGACTCCAGGTTTGTATCTCTAGAACAACGTATTTGTACTTAACCCAGTGGGTATGTTTGTACAATAAAGGTCTTCATTCATTCATTAATGACCCCTATTGGATCCTTTCTCGATGTCATGTCAGTGCACCATGTACAGTTTCTGTATCTGTATCTGTATCTGTATAGCCTTTAGGCGTAACACACCAGCTTCTGTATATTACTGTATGTTACGTTGTGGCAATCCTAATAGACCCCCACTTATATGAAATTTCCTGTGCTTTTTAACAGATTACTATCGACATCAGTCCTCCCGAACCCGGGCACGTCACCGACAACTTTGCCGGTCAGGCTGACATTGACTTCCAGGTAAGACAATCATCTAATGCGAACAAACAAACAAACAAACAAACAAACAAACAAACAAACAAACAAACAAGCAAGCAAACATATCTAGAATGGCCGATTGATGGAACATGTGTTCGATTAAAGTTAATACAAAGCATGTTGCGTGTCCTTGCTTGTACAAAGGTATGTTGAAACTATTGTCTTCATTGAAAACTTGATGGTATTGATGTCAAATGGGAAACAGTAAAGGTGATTATAAATCCAAACGTGCATTTCAGAGTGGTGATGCGAACATGCACTTCAGTTGGGAAGGATTTTTTGACCACGAAAGCGGCGTGAGGAGCTACCAGGTGTTCTTCGGCACTCGGTGTGGAATACCCAGTGACTTCGGCATTCCCGTACCTGACTCGGTAAGCTTGTGCCGATTTACACTACTGAATATTACAACTTTTAGATAGATTGCAACATTTACTGATTGTAGAAATATCCCTGAGCTGCATATTATGATTAACAGATGCTACTTTGGGGTACAGAAGTACTGTTTTAGGTGGCTGAGCTGTGAGTTTGCGCATCTATTTTACTGGACAGTACTAGGTTTAGGTTTGTGGGTAGGGGTGGTGAAAGAATTGCAAGCAGAACGACAGGTAAATATAAGATCAGGCACAGGATATGCAGTGAACATGTGAGTAGGTTGACAGCACGTGGTGGGGAAGTTTGACATGCAGAATGACAGGAGGTCAAAAGGTCAGACACAGGAAAAGGGGTGGCCGAACTTAGGTCACCAAACCAAATTACTGAAAGTCTGAAATTCATGACTTCTTGTTGAGGGCTGATTTCGATGTGCGATCTTTTTCAGGCGACTGAAAAGACGACCACCGAGCTGCAGCACAGTTTCACGGCGTCCTCCCCCGGCACGTACTACTGCACCGTGGTCGCCTTTAACCGCGCCTTGTCTGCCTCCGAACCAGTGTGTTCTGACGGGATTCTGTACGACACGTCTCCGCCCTCCATAACCAACATCGTCATCGAGAACATCCGGGCTAGGACGGGAGCGATCAAAGATGGCGGCGGGAACGTTTGGATGGTGGATGACCAACTCAGGAAGGTCGCTGTAAACGGTCCATCGTCTGCTTGCAGGTGAAGTTTTGATTTTTAGCTTTACTAATCCTTTTATTTCTAATAACGCGGTAGAATCCACTAGTATCTGTTATGAGTTACCAATCCTCAATATATTGACCAAATACGAAGGCCCACAAGTACAATGATAGTCCCCCTCAAAATTTTTCCGCGCGCAGCTCACCGTAAATGGTTTGCGTAGGCGACATAAATGTCGTTATAGGCTTTCGTACCTTTAGTAGTCGCTTGGGCTACAATGGAAAACAAGGTGATGATGCTGTGTTGATTGGTGCGTTGATGTTATGGACTTGTTTTGTATATAACAGCTCAGCGGCTAGGCAGGTTGCTGATCCCGCCATCTTCACCGACCGCCCAACGGTCAACGTCAACGCAGATTCGAATGACGATCCAGAAACCATCAGGATGGCCACGTCTGCTGGGTGCGAGTCGGATGGAGCCCTGGCATCTCCGTTTTTCATGGTTGTGGACAAGCATGTGAGTATTATCAAGCTCTATACTTCTGTGTTGATTGACACTTATCCTCTGATAATGACATACAGTCAAACCCACCCAAGAAGGCCAGCCACGAGGGACCAATATGGCTTCATATGGTAGGCCGCTTAATACGAGCGTCTATGGGGAAAATTAATGACCCGGAAAAGGTGGTCGTTATAGTCAGATGGCCGGTTTGAAGAGGTGGCGGCTCGGGCAGGTTTGAATGTAGTGCAATGTGTTCAACAAGGAATAGTTGTGGGACCACTACTGACATAACGGATGAATGAAGAGTTACTTCAGAGATACAGAAGGAAATTTATAAAGTTGACGCACATGATGATGTTATGTTATGTTATGTTCTGCCCCAAACCTATACCTATACCTATCACGATGTTGCCTCTGTGTGTAATAAATCAATAAATCGTTATAATTTTTCTCTCCCCAGCTGGTTGTTTACTGGAACGGTTCTGACGGTGAGAGTCAGATTAGCGACTACCAGGTCGGCCTCAGTTCTACTGAATCTGGAGCCTCCAGTCCGAACATCATGCCTCTCACCTCAACTCACGGACATACCGTCTTCAAAACTAGGTAAGATCTACATTAAGGAGTCTTTGGTAGACTCAACTGTCCCATTTGAAGTTCATCCCTATAACTATTTGTAACAAGTATTCTGACGCAGATCTTGGCTATCTGTAACAGTGGGGGGGGGGTTTATAGGCGCTACCAACTGACCCGGCCGAGGGGTCTAGACCTTTTAGAAGGTGGGTTCGTACCCCGGCCTGGGACCAGAAGGGTTTTTACTGGCTCCTCCTGTTTCTTACATATCATATGCATGTCTGTTCTAAAGTATTCCTAACTAGTATTGATTGACGTTTATGTTCCTTACCAAAGGCATTCAGGTCTGGGTGAGGGACAAGAATTCTACCTGGGCGTGACGGCAACAAACAGGGCTGGCCTATCGACAACTAAGGTACCTATTGGTAACTTCTAGTGTATTAATCAATCTGTCCCAACAACAAAAAGTCTGAACGTCCAGTTAACCTAGTCTGAACTAACCACCAAAGATGTCCTTTTTCATACCCTTGCGTGCTGTTTACGAAGTACATGTAGCTCAGCACCATGCGTCGACGATGTCGTGGTGTACCTGTATGTTCTAAACACTCAATATATATCAGTCTCTCTTGAACATTTGCATGCTCTTAGGTATTACTCATTGAATAAACTATTGTATTAACTATAACAGAGTGTTATGTCTATTTTACAGACTATCGGACCGATCGTGGTTGACGCGAGGCCCCCGACGTTCTCGGGTCAGGTGACAGTGACCGTGGAGGATGACTACATCGTGGCGCGATGGCCGGCCAACGGGTTTTCCGACGACGAGGATACCGCCGGGCTCACATTCGAGTACTCAGTTGGTCAGTAACAATATCATTAATTCCTCTGCAAATAGTTTCGATTGATTGATAAGTCAATTGGGCCTTAGCTACATAACCAATGGATTTGTTTCTGCCAGCATTTGCGGTAAACTTTCGACTACCTTCTGAAAGAAAGGAATAAAATATGACTATTTTCAGACGGTTCGTAGTGTGTAGTAGCCCCCGTCCAGGTACAAGGAATGTGTATCTAGTCCAAATACGTTTTACTTTTCAAGCATCATAACGCCAATCTCTTGTAGTACGTATACAGGAATAATCGAACAAGAAAGTACTCTCCAAGGTGCTGATATGCCATCTTGTGTTACTTGAAAGCTCATTGCTACATCAGTACTGTTTTAAGAACAATTGGAATTCAAAATTGTCCATACCGGTACCTCTCGTAGCATTGACAGTGACTAGCGGGAGTACTACGTACGTTAAAGAAACTAAATTCTGAACCGTGCTGATCGTCGATTGTTAGGTCATGAGGCTAACAGCGAGGACATCTTGGAGTACACATCCCTGACTAGCGTGGGACCGTGTGGGGGAGCTTCTGGGTGTACTGCTGTTCACAGAGATAATTTACAGGTATTCTAGATGGATACATGAACACACTCTACATATCATTTCAGTTCTCTCTATCTTTGTTTAATGTATATAGGACGATGCCAAAATGTTTTTGAAAGTATTGGGCCATCGTCAAAATGTAATCACTGCGTATATTGTATTGTGTAAAATGAAATTGGAAATTTTAGACTTCCAGAACCTTTAGGGTAGACCTCCCTGTCAACTGTCAAAACCACGCTACTGTCGATACATGGACAGAAACAGAAACAAAACCCACAAACAAAAAAACTTACCCACGAGTAATAAAGAAAATGTCCTTCCTCTACAGTGGGGTATACATGGCACACATACCTACTACATGTCCATCAAGGCCACGGACACTGTCGGACTGACCACTGTGGTGACGTCCTCTCCGTACGTTCATTACGAGGGCGTGCCTACTGCTGGTGTGGTAGAGGACATCAACCCTGACCCACAGGCTCCTGTCTACGATTATCTTCAGGTATGAAACAACATCGCAAATTGTATTTCAGTCTTGGACTCCTAGCCGTTAGATTTGGAACTGCAGAGGCGTTTTCGTTTTTAATAGTGGATAACTCGAGAAAAAAGACACGAGTTCCCATCATTTAAGTCATTTACTAGGTAGTTTAGACAGAGATATATTCTACGAATTAGATTCAAAAGAGACGTTCTTACAATACGTCGCATGGGCTCAACCTTTAAAGTATTAGCAGACTAATATAAGGTGTACGTTTTGTATTGCTTTTGTCAGTGTCAAATCTATTGTGCAAGCTTTGCTAACAGGTCTACATTTTGTTCAGCCGGCAGATGCAGACTTCCAGACGACCGCCACCACGCTGTCTGCTCGCTGGTCCGGCTTCCTACACGAACATCGGGACATCTCGTACCAGGTGGGAGCCGGGACGTCACCAGGTGGTACGGACGTGGTCGGGTTCACTTCTGTTGGGCAAAACACGGAGTGGAGCAGGACTGGACTCAGTCTTACGTCCTTCCAGGTAGGGTAGATGTTTACGAAGTAGGATTTAACTTCCAACACTTTGAGTTACATTTTCAACCAGTCTTTCAGTCTTCAGTCTTCTGTAACCTTCCCCAATGCTGCCTATCCCCATAAGCAATAAAAATCCGGTGCCAGATTAAGTAACTTATCATTGAAGGTTAATAAGATTCATGTGGACACGATTGTTCAGGATACGTTAATGTACATAAGTATACATAAGTATACATAAGTATACATAAGTGTACATGATATACGTCAACGTACATAAGCTCAGGTCTTCCATTAGTGTGACGTAAACATTTGGTCACTGGTTGCTAGAAGTCGATATCGGCCCCAATCACTGTTAAAGAAAGATTCATATCATCGTTTTAAGACACCGCACTAAAGTATATAGATGATCCATTTTAGCAGATTAGTAAGTTTTTGGTGTCATCATTCCAGGGCCTTTCTCTCGTGTAAAGGAACCCCTTCTTTGACTGAGTACAGTCTTCTCTGAGGTCATTATTGTCCATTTTCTAATACAGTTATTTAGGTTATTACGGTACGAAACATAAGTTGAATGAGGCTATGTAAACTGAGTGTTTGTAAATGTTACTTTTCCAGACGTATTACATCACGGTGAAGGCCAGTAACAGTCTCGGGGACACAACCGTCACCTCAGACGGAATAACGGTTCTGCAGGACGGAGACTCTCTTCAAGGAGCGGTCGTCACGGACGGGATGGAATGTTCTGGTACTTTTTGTTTAATAAGTTTCTGTTTTTTATTAAACAAAGTCGAACTACAGTTAGAAAATGGACAACATGATACACAAATACTACACTGTCCACAAACACATGCTGTATGCTCTTTTTAGCTACTTTTTATCCTACTATGGTTCTGTGTTAGTACAAGAATTATGTCACTAGAATTGTATCTAAACACAGAATATCATACATTCCGAATATTCATTAGAAAATAAACCATTCTGTTGTCCTATATTTCAGACCAGCACGATGAACTTTATCAGATACAGGTATGGTACTTAAATTTTCGTTGTTTAATTTCCGTTGCATACAGAACTATACTTTTTCTAAATGAATGTTAATTACTTTTAAAAAAGGATACTTAATAAAGGTCTTTACAGGCTTAACGTTTGTTTTCAGACCATCCGTTCTGCTTGCTACACCACGTCGCCGTCAATCTACCAGACGTCAAGGAAGGCAGTGGCTGCTCATTGGACCATCCCACCTGCCAATCGAGCTCACGTGACCCACGTCCAATGGTCGATCGTGCAGGAGGTAGAAGGGGAGGAGACTGTGGTGCAGGACTATGTGAACCTCGGCATGGCGACCCACGGACTGACGGCAGATGACAATGTGTACCTCTCTCCCGAAGTCCTCTACAAGTCTAAAGTCTTGTTTTGTCATCAGGCTGGCTGTTTTGCTCCAGGTATTACAGTACTAAATTTATCATTGTGGCAAAATATTTTTAACTGTTTGTAGTCTGTCGCCACCCCTGTCCCGATTGAAAGAACATGTATCTAGTCCCCTTTTTTGCAATTTAAAGGAATTCTAGTATAGTAAGGAGAGTTCCAAACTAGAAGATCGAACTGCCAGGCACTTTCTATTGTGCTGATATGCCATCATGAGTTAGCTAGAAGTATCGGTATTCATTCTATAAGTCTCGGAAAATCCAAAGTAACACGTTGGTTAAAAAGAATTGCCAATCATTCCTATTTTAGCCCTTTTAACAGATTAAATGAATTTGCCTTTACGATATGTGCATGTAAGATGGTGTTTGGGTAAAAGCACCAACAGTTGTACGTTATCTTCTAACCAATGATCAATGCCCAAGAAATCATTTTCTTTTTACATGTATTTCTCCAGTCTACAGTTCCGGCTTCCTGGTGGCCCCAGATCCACCCCTTCCCGGGTCTCTTCACGTCACCAGTCCGTATCCAGATTCAGGCACCAGGAGTGCTGACGTCATCTTTGACAAGTTCGGTGATCTGTACTACCCTACTGATGACGTCATGAACTTCTATGACTGGGCCGTTACTGATGACTCAGAGGATGGAAAATTACTGACTGACTGGGCAACGGTTACTCCAACATCTTCCAATGAAACAACAGTAAGTACAAAGACCTTGTTGATAAGAATGCTGTCTTGTTGGATTCTTTTGGCTCACTATTTCACTGTTGACTTCTGGTAGTCTGTAGTGGCCTCCGTCTCGGCCCATCCTGCTGAAACATGTGTCTGTTCATATCTGATTCCTCTCTCTCTCTCTCCATCTCTCTCTCTCTCTCTCTCTCTCACTGTCTCCATCTTTGCCTCTCCATCTCTCTCTCTATCTCTCTCTCTCCATCTCTCTCTCCATCTCTCTTTCTCTCTCCATATCTATCTCTCTCTAATTCTCTCTCCATCTCTTCCTCCCTAGCACTATTTTTGTCTGTAGGAATAGAAGAATGACAGAAAAGTACACATGTATGGGTAAGGGGTTGAAGTCTGCCATCTCTAACTGCCATTGGATTCCTCCCCAGATCTCCTTCTCCGTGACCGGGCTGCCCCGTGATCTCACCAAGTGTCTGAGTCTGGTGGTGAGAGGACACGCCCACACCGGGCTGTCAGCGTCCGTCTCCGCGGAGATCGTCCAGTGTGAACAAACCGACACAAACAGAGGGCTCAACTACTCAACAGTCATAGACACTCGCCGTAAGTACTAGTATATTTTTATTTTTTGGCAACGCCTTAGGAACGAAGCCTGTAGTATAGTATTGTATCCTGCTGGAAATACAATAAGTCGAGAAGTAATATTTTTAAGATGCCCTCTTCTTCAAGTTTTTTACTTGTTCTGTAGATCTTGGATTACCATCCATTTTTTTACAGCTAACATCACACTTGAGTTGAACGCAGACTGGACAGAGTACGACATTGACTACACCAGTGAGACAACGATGCTGTCTGCCGTCTGGCCGACGTTACGTCACCGGAAGTACGAGTGGGCCGTCCTGGAGGACAAGTCAGGGTCAAGTCTGTCGGCCATGGCCGGACATCACCTCAGTATTCCTAACCCTTGTGATCACCAGGACATGATAGTGTGTGGACGGACCACCAGTGTAAGTATACATGCTTACCTACCAAGTCCTGTACCTACATTGATAGTTTGCTTGTGATTGATTTGCCAATGTCTGTCTTAATACTACAAGCAGCCAAGGACGCAACGTAACTGATCGTATTATTTCTCCAATAGGAATACATCAACGTGGATGACCTGAGCCTGGAACATAACAAGCGGTACATCGTGTGTATCCACGCCCAGGAGACCTCCATCACGTACGAGAGGTGGGTAGAAACGCTGCCGGAGACGGCCGTCTGTAGCAGCGGGGTGACGGTGGACGTGACTCCGCCCAACGCTGATGCTGCCGACGTTTGGATTGGCTCCAACGATAAATCCAATTACCAGGTAATTCACCATGTTTTCTTCTTGCTGCCTACTTGTGCGTACATTTTGTTTGAATTGTTCTTCAATTTACTGATAGATGTTGTTTTTTTTTATTTGGGGGTACGGAAGTATTGTTTTGGGTGGCTGAGTTGTGAGCTTGTGAGTTTGTTCTCGACATTATTGGGGGCAGAATGACTGGGTCAAAAGATCAGAAAAAGGAAATGGGGGTAAACTAGAGGGTAGGCTATAACAGCACATGGGTTGGGGAAGGATGATTGACAGAATGAAGGGTCAAACAAAGTAGGGGGTGAACTTGAGAGTAGGTTGACATCACGTGGGTGGGTGAGATTGACACGAAGAATGGTAGGAGGTTAAAAGGCCGGACACAGGAAATGGGCCCCGAATATTATACCCGAACTTTTTGTAAGTCAGAAAAATCCGATTTCTTGTTTGATAGGTGTCGACTACAGAGCTGTATGTACAGTGGGATGGATTTGTTGATGTTGAAGAACATGACGTTTCTATGCACCACACAGGAATACAATACTACGAATATGCCATAGGTAAGTAATGAGGACTTCAATGACCCGTCCCATGGATGGTGTAAACAGTACCATAAGGCTTTGTCATTTTCCATTACCAAAGAATAATCACCAAGTTTAGCAAGCTATCTCCGTTTTAATGGACAAAAATTATTACATGCGCTTTCAAGAACGGTTTTTGGACGGTTGGTAGTCTGTAGCGGCTCCCGTCCCGGTTTGATGAAGATGTACATATCTAGTCTATTTAGTGCATCCTTCCCATGCATAATAAATGTATTTTACTGCTACAAGTAGTGCATATACAGGGTGGTCGGTGCTATTTTCGCTCCCTTCAATTCACAACCAGTCACTATGATGAGCTTTAACATTGTACCCTGTCTATTCAGGTACAATCGCTGGAGGATCAGACATCCAAGCCTGGACAGATGTAGGAGTGACAGACCACGTTCTACTACACGGCGTCAGGCTGCAACACGGATGGTCATACTATGCCACTGTGAGAGGTACATAAAAACAAAAGATAGTAAAAACGAAAGATTATCACAACAAAAATAATAAGAAGCACATAGCCTAGCCTTAGCATACCGGCCTGTGAAACACAAAGCATTTTCGAAAATATCCCAGAAGAAATTTGGTACCTATATAATCTCTTTCTTTACTTACTGATCTTTTCACAATTTTTCTCTCTTTAGCCTGGGATTTTGTCGGACTGTCGACCAGCAAAGGTTCCCAGAGAGTGACCGTTGACACGACACCGCCTGAGAAGTCGGACACTCACATCAACGTCGGGGGCAGTTTCCACTTCAGTTCGTCAGCAGTGTCGGCAAGGTAAAGTCGCACGATCGTCGTACGATCTTTTCAAGGTCGCAAACTAAAGGGAATTCTTGAGATCTTTGTACAAACTCTATCGCAACGACTGCTTCAAAATTCTATATCAAAATCGTTAGACGACCTAAGACGAATATGACAGTGTCCTCAGATACCACTGACTTGATACAGGTTCTAACAATAATGGCTCCGGCCACATGCGTCGTTCGATCGCTCATGGCGTGGTTAGAACAGTCGTGCATTACGTCCTGCTAAATTCAGCGCGTTAATTGCTAAATGCTAATTCTTGTCGGTTGGCTCTGTCACAGTCTTCTTGCGGGCGTTACGGTCTTAAAATCGCAGGCCGATCTATGACATGTGACCTTAAGAACGTATGAAAAATAGAATTTATACACATCCTTATCAATATGCACATTATAACATACCATTGAACATTGACACCATGATTTCTTGCCCTCACAGCTGGGAGGGTGTGTTCTACGACACAGAAAGTGGAGTGTCGTTCTTTGAGTGGGCGGTCGGCTCCAGGGCGGGTCATGCCGACATCTACCCCTTCACTAGGGTGGAGGAGACGGAGGCTCAGACAGATGAGAACAGTCCTCTTCAGCTGCATGAAGGGCACGAGTATTATGTGTCCGTCAAGGTATGAAATACTATCCATTTTATCTAATACATAAAACTGGCAGAGTTATACACATTATTCAGGCCCCCAATGATATTTGCTAATGGGTAAAATTAAAATTTTTTCACCCTTTGGATTTTCAAATCATCACCAGCATGATCCTTTTGGTTTTCCCTTTTTTCACATACTAGTAGGCATAGGTACTGTAATCATAGTAAATCGTATAGCAAATAATATCTAAAGTTAACAACGTTGTGAGGTCTTCAGCCTTGATGACAAGTTCTCCTTTGACGACCTCCAGGCCTATAACGGAGCCGGGCTGATGACTATGGCTACGTCCTGGGCCGTGGTTGTGGAGACGTCCCCGCCTGAGGCCGGGAATGTGTACGACGGACCCACGAGTGGCGCCGTGAACGACATAGACTATCAGGACGACGTCACGACCATCCACGCCCACTGGGACGGTTTCCACGACCCCCATTCTGCCGTGGTGAGCTACACGTGGAGCGTCGGGGTGTGTGCCGGATGTAGCGGCATTCTTGCCCCACAAAACGTCGGGATTCTACAAGGTAACATTAACTTTATATGTATGTTGCATGGATTTAAATTTGCAAGTTATTGGCAACGCCTTCGGGGCGGAGACGTCTCATGTAGCGACGTCCTCCTAGTCACGTTACCCCGCCAGGTAGCTTACGGGCTGTTTTTTTTTTTTCGTTTTGCCCGTTAACTACTCCATGGGGCATCAGTATTAATTCAATGTAAAAAACTATACAGGGAAGCTTTATTCATTCATCAATATGTTTGTGTGTCTTTTTTGTATGGAAAATGAATAAAAATGTACCTCTTATACGTTTGAAACAAGATTGAGCATCTTTGTTTTTTCTCCACAGCTGCGCGTGTGGACGCCCTTCAGCTGACCCCAGGAGAGACGTACTACGTGACGGTGACGGCGTGTAACGCTGCCGACCTCTGCACCACCGTGTCGTCTGACGGAGTCATCCCCGACGACTCCCCGCCTGTCGCCGGGAGAGTCCTGGATGGGGCTCAGGGAGAGGAGGCCTCCTACCAGGCATCAACGTAAGTACAGTCCACACAGCAATTAACAATGTCACGGTAAGATTAAAATTATGCTATAGAACATTCCAGTTTTGTTGCCCAGAAATTGCATTGGATGACTGTAACAAGCATTGCAGGCTCTGTCCTTGGTGCTGAAACATTGGTTAGATGCAGTGCAATCATCAGAAAGTTCCTTTTTTCCCAACAGAAACAGTTGCATTTGTAGATGAATAGTTGCATTTGCCAATGGCGATAAATGTCAGGTAAGCCTGGCAATGCTTACTTTTGGCATTTTATGATTTAGGTAACTATTATCAGACCTACCTGGGTAAGATATGCAGGGCTCACCCCCAAAAAAGTGAAATCTACCAATAGCGAATACAGTTGAATATTCCTATCGGTGGCGGAAATGTATATTACACAATGTAGTCATGTGCTCTACTACATGTGTCTACATGTACTTTTTCAATCTGATTACTGTCAACTTCTATGTTTTCTGCTCTCATTGCATTCCCTCTTTTCCGACATCAGGAGCAGTTTGGCTGCCCACTGGTACGGGTTCAATGACCCCCATTCTGGACTGGCCTACTATGAATGGCGCGCTGGTACTACACCGGGCGGGAGTAACATCCTGGGAGTAACACGGGTTAGTACACTTTGATGTTTGTCACTTCTAGGTACTAAAGTATTGTTTTGTGTGGCTGAAATCATTGGTTGGTTGGTCTGTCCGAATTGTTTTGGCTTCATGGTGGGTGGGAGGTGATTTTGGTAGTTAATTGAAAGGGAAGGCCACCCGAAGGTGACCCAGCGCATGTATTTGGAAAGTGGTGTAATACCCGCTTACAGTACATCATACAATCCCTCCGCACTTCCCAAAATACTTCCTGGTGAACTTGAAGGTCACGATAACACTGGAAGTCTGGAAGGTATGATTTCTGAAAGGCTGAACAAGATGTTAATTGTAGTATAATGATTTACGTGATGCATTGCTTTACAGCTCCACCTGACGAATGTAGCTGTGAAGACAGGACTCTCCCTTCCTGTCAACACCCTGATCTACGTCACCGTGAAGGCATACAACCGTGTGGGAATGTCTGTGGAGACCACATCCAACGGTAAAGAAGTTAAACCATTTTTAAAAATTAATTCTGACCCTGCCAACTGACAAAGTTAGATTCTTTATTCTCAGATGTAGGAGAAAACCTGCGGAATAGGTATAAGTAAAACTTGACATTTGTATAATGTCGCCAGGGTTCCGAGTCGACACCTCTGCACCGACCGTGACGACAGCCGTGCACTTTGACCACACCCACGGTTCCTTTGTGAGTGGAACACAAACATGGCGGTCTGGTGTGAAGATAAAATGGCGGTTTGACGACAGCGAGAGTCTGGTGGTGGATCAGCACGTCTCTCTGTCCAACCATCACGGAGCGGAGGTCGCCAACATAAAGGTGTGTTAACCATCAACTTGATACTTTACGGCCTTACAGCTACATGTCGTACGGTTTTCGTACAATTGTCATACGATCTTCGTACCCCTTAGTACCATTTTGGAACTAGAAAATGAGTGTTTGAACAATGTAACTTTAAGTGTTTGGAGTTGCATTCGTCCTTTTGGATTGGGACAGAAAACTTACAACTGTGTGTATGAAGGACCTTCAGGCATTAGCCTCGGGTGCGAAACCTCTGTACGTAAAATAGCCCAACACACTCAAAAAGAGAAGGGGTGAATCGGTGTTCTCGGCTAAAAACGTTACTGAAGTCGCTTTTGCTTTCCATTATCTGCTATGGAAAAAGCACTACGCTTCCTGTCAAGTATTACGTGTTAGAAGACATCATTTTTCCTTTTAATTCGGGGACAATACGTGGTTTTATCAAAGAACTAGTAGTACCTATATGGAATGTTTTGCTCTTAAATACAAGCCGTACTGTCCTTTTCAGCTCAACGGCACAGTGTATGAGTACACGTTCACCGAGCTCGAACTGGATGATGGGAACAACTACGTTGCGAAGGTGATCGGATGTAACAACGCAAGGCTCTGCACTCAACAACAAACTGGATCTCTACTGGTAAGTGCAACAGTTTTGTCGCAACAAAAGATATCCATAACATTAAACATGACGTTCAGGACAAGCAGTTTCTAGTATTTAATCTAGACTTCATTTGAAAAGTCTACGTTCTAAACGCTGCAATTCTTCTTGCACCTTAAAGTGTGCATAAAGCTTCTGTTTCGTCACTTCAGATGGAAAATGGAACGTTCACTGGTCGAATTACGATCTTTAAAGCATGCTGAGGATCGGATATCGAGCAGTAACGCTGTCACTTCTAGCTAACTATTTCTGTGATTTATCTATAAACAGATTGACACGTCCAAACCGTTAACCGGGCATTTTGCGGTCAACACTGACCACGCCGCCCGGCTGACCAGGCACAGGGACAGCTGGATGACCTACGATAACAGCGGAACTCCGACCCTGAAGCTGGCCTGGCTTGGCTTCAGTGACTACCACTCCGGGATAGACAGACTCATGGTGGCAGTCGGGACTGGGTTCTTCGGAAGGGACAAGACTCTGGTAAAACCTCTTTTAAATAAGCATCAGCATAGTAATTGCGTCCTAATTTGATTTCGTATACTGTGTCCATATTGCTGTGGTAATTTGCATATTTGTGAAACTCATTTGCATATTTGTGAAACTCATTTGCATATTTGTGAAACTCATTTACATATTTGTGAAACTCATTTGCATATGAGGGAAAATACCATGTTCCTGCTTAGAAATTTAGGGACTTCATCCATGAGCTTACGCTGTGCAATTTTTCCTTTTCACAGAATGGTTCACCACAAGTTCTTGCCCATGGCAACCAAGTCGGCGATCAGCAGAACGACGAAGGCTATGTCTACACAGGAACAGTACAGCTGTCAAGTGCAGTGACTGGATACAGCACCATGTACATCTCTCTATGGGCCATCAACGGGGTAACACATTTACGCGTATACTCTTTTGTATATAAAATTTACGATATCATTACGTAGTGGAACAATTTTACTGTTAATAGACTCCAAAAATTGGACTTACCAGAATTTTGACTGCATCATTCAGTCTCCTTTAGCTATCAGCCATCAATCGCTCAGGACACGGCGTTTGCTTGTGTGACTTCTACGAAGATTCAAAGTTTGTTGTAAGTTGATATCGCCCCCCGTCCCGTATTTCGATTAATGTATTATAAAGTCAATGTTTCATTAAAAGTAATATGTGTCTCCCCATAGGCGGGCTTGGCCAGTACTGTGGCCCACTCAGCTTTCCAGGCGGTCCCTGCCTCTGGTTCCACCGGGAGTTTGGCGCTGGTCCGTCGGTGCGATGCACACTCCTGCTACGGACACTGTATCTGTGCACCCTTCAACCAGAACTGTGCCCGGCCAAGCGGAAATACATGCACACAACTGGACAACTGTATGTGCACTATAGCTGCATAACTTCATCATTTTGACCATATTTTGTTATGAGCGCCATTGCTTTAGGTCAAGTCTGTATGTATATATATCGTGTGTTCAGCAAAAAAGAGGGTGGGTGGTGATTTCAGTTGAAAGACAGGGTTGTGACCCATATGTCCTATGACTGTTTTTATTTCATTTCAGCTGATTCAAGCTACTCCAGAATTGAAGTTTATGACAAAACCGACTACAGCCTCCTGACCAATGGGGACACGTCTGACGCCGGCTTCACCTACTCCACATGCGCACTGGCGGCCAACTGGAGGGAGGCTACAATAGGGTCTGCCGGGAGACCGTACAGATACGAGTGGAGCGCTGGGATCAGTGTAAGTACGGCATCATGTCCGTTTAGGGGGCAATTAGGGTTTTCAAGATTCAGATCCCAGCGATGACTGTGGTTTACAGTATAGCCGTTCCTAGTCATCGGTCGATACTAGTCTGTTTCCAAAAAAATTCCATGGACTATAAAATGTGCTTCGTGATACGTTCTCTAATTTTATGTTTTTATGTCTGTTTTTTTTGCCACATTTTCCAGGGACAAACGGTTGGCTCTGGGTTGTTTGATCTTGTCTACGACCGTGTCTGGTACGATGTAGGTCTGGAGACCAGCGCTGTTCTCACCCTTCCAGTTGGAAGTAAGCTTTCATGATATTGAAATGCCTTTTCTTTCACTAAATTTCGATGTCTACCTTAGAGGCATACATGTAATTTCTATTTTATCAAAATATCTTTAATTTAAGCTTCCCTGGAAGTTGGCGTGAGCTACGTGTTCTACGTAAGAGCCTGGTACACGGACAACATCTACAGGGAGTTTCAGTCCAACGTTGTGAGAGCTGATCAAACTCCACCAAAGAGATCAAGTTCGAGGAAGGTCGGTATAAAAGAATATAGTTATACTAAATTGAAATGTTTGTGAGTGGGGTTAGCGTTCAGCACCAAAGACAGATTCTTTGTGTATTGATAGTGTTTAGCACCAAGGACATGCATGTCTTGTGTGGATAGTGTTTAGCACCAAGGACATGCATGTCTTGTGTGGATAGTGTTTAGCACCAAGGACATGCATGTCTTGTGTGGATAGTGTTTAGCACCAAGGACATGCATGTCTTGTGTGGATAGTGTTCAGCACCGAGGACAGGCATGTTTTGTGTGGATAGTGTTCAGCACCGAGGACAGGCATGTCTTGTGTGGATAGTGTTCAGCACCGAGGACAGGCATGTTTTGTGTGGATAGTGTTCAGCACCGAGGACAGGCATGTTTTGTGTGGATAGTGTTCAGCACCGAGGACAGGCATGTTTTGTGTGGATAGTGTTCAGCACACAAGGTGTTTTTGTGTTAGTCGTGTTCAGTACCAAGGCACGGATTTGTAACGTTATGGTTTTGTTGCAGATCAAAGACCTGACGTCCACATCAGAAGAACACGATATTGAGTACATGGCCCAAACAAACAGCCTGAGTGCCAGCTGGGAGTATGTCTTCCTGGACGCCATCAATGATGGGAACGACCGTCATTTCCAGCGCTTTGAGTTGGCCCTGGGCACCTATCCTGGAGGTAAGAGAGTAACTGTGAATGTTACTTGTAATGACTCAGATTCATGCCAAATCTACTAAACTTAAAATAACTGAAAATAGCAGGTATTGTTTGTATGTGCGTGTGTATATTGTGCGTCCTTACAGTTGAGTAAAACGTGAGTGGGGGAAATATATAACCACAGACCACAAATGTCACACACTAGAAGTTAGGTTTCATAAGCTGTAAACCGTGTGTCAGAGGAAAATGCATGCATAAATAATGTACTATCATTAGAGAAATTCACAATAATCAATATACTAGTAACAAGAATTTAGTTAATACCAAAAACTAAAAAAAAAAGATTTCACCAAGTATGGAATCTTAGTTTTGAAACGTTCCTCTTGGTTGAAATAACTTCACCTTTCGACAAACTAACCTCCAGGAGAAGACGTGAAGAGGTTTGCGGATAACGTGGTCTCCGGGACCGCCACGTCCCACACCTTCACGGGCCTGAGCCTGCAGTCAGGCAGGACGTACTACACCTCCGTACGGCCGTACAACTTCGCCGGGCTGCAAAGTACCTTCCACAGCGACGGTGTCATGGTGGACACGGTAGCACCGACAGCAGGCGTCGTCTTTGATGGACAAGGTAGGAAAATGTTTTTCTTTCCAAACGTTAAGAAAATGCTAGAGCAAACATTTTGTTTTTTCTTGCCTAAGTCACCGACGAAAGGCATAGGATGCTACCTCAAACATCTTCGTTAAGAAGGTGATGTTTTCGAAACTGTAACAATTTTTAGGATTTCGATTAGTGTTAGGTTAATTTCAATCTGTTCTTCCCAGAGGCCAAAGTTTTCGGTTTTAGTTAGATGACACAGCTTAAGAAACTTTGAATGGCTATTTGATATGAAATTTGAGTTTACCTCTTTGACCTACCGACTTTCCTTGGTACTGCAAAAGAACATCCAGTTGTTGTATCTCGTTTGCAGATGTCAGGGACATTGCGTGGACGTCGGAATCAACTGTGGTGTCAGCATCTTGGCATGGATTCAACGACCTGGACTCGGGCATAGACAAACATTTCTGGTGCATCGGAGAAACCAACAGCCAATCGGAGTGCAACATCATGGGGTGGACCGACACCGGATTGGTCCAAGAGGGTACTACTACATTAGGAAGTAGTCTAACAAATGGTGAGAAATAGGATAAAAACCGTTTAGCACTCGGAGTCTGTTTATTATTTCTGCTATGTATTATGTTGCTATGGCGCACCTCAGAGTAACATTCTTGTTCATGTTTAGCTTATGTAAGAAACCTGGATCCAGGGCTACTGAATAGCTCAAGTAATGATTTCAAAAAAGTCTATTGGCACAACATATTTCATTCTCTACGTTGAGCTGTTCTGATAGCCACCAGTTTATTTAAGGGGATCAGACTATGTTACAAATGATTGAGTTATAATTCGCTGAAAGGCAAAAAGGGACACCAGCATGGTGCAGGATATACATAAAGAGTGGCATTGAACTAGAATAAAATTTTTTGCGTGTATTTAATCATATATAACTTCTAAAGGTTTTAATTATATATATCAGGACAACGTTATTACAACAAAGTGAAGGGTCAGGACGCCGCCGGGCACCAGTCACCAGTCGCCGTGTCCGACGGGTTCCTTGTGGACACCTTCCCGCCGATACCAGAGGCCAACCTGCAGATAGGGGAGAACCTGCTCCTCAATCCGTCATTTGAAGATACCATTGTCAGTGGACAAGAAGGTTCGAGTATTTTTTTAATATCAAGAATGGTATTAGTTTCACTTGAGAAATGATGCTTCTTTCAGTCTAGAAATTGGATATTTATGCTGGACGATAAAGACGTTATTCTATTCTTTTTTCATCCCAATTTGGCGGAATCCTTTCAGTGGAAATTTTGTATACGCTCTGATCAAGAGATATTTACGTGGGCACTGACCAACCACAGGGCTCATTTTAACGTTTAACCCGATAAAATTTCACCCCTAGCTCACGTATTGACTGATGTTATAAGTTTTCTAAGGAACTAAAAGGAATGATCTTAACTGTTTCTTAAAGGTTGGGTACTGGAAGGTGACTCTGTGGTACAGCAGATCTCGTCCTTACCCACTGATGACTTCCAGACCAAACATGGACGTTCTCATCTCCTCCTACATGGCACCATGTCTCAGACCTTCACCACTGTGGCAGGTAAGTCATAACATGCATGCTGATTGGTTGGTTGTTATCAAACGTTGACCAATCAGCAAATGATTCTAAAATTGGAAAGTCTGGCATGAAGAGTTGAATAGTGATTGGCCGAACTGATGGTGTGATTAACCAATCAGAGTAGTTAATTTTTTGTACTCTTCATACTATTGGTTATAGGTAATACTTTAATGTGATTAAATGATGTTTTTCTGATCACAGATCAAGAATACAGGATCTCCTTCTTTGTAAACCATGACGCGACCACGGACGTCCCCCGTCTGACCCAAGAAGGTCTGCTGACGGCCCCAGGTCTTCATCAGGTGTTCAAACTGCGGAACAGACAGGTGTCCACTGTCGACACCACCTCTACAGAACAGTGGGACACCTGGCAGAAACAGATCTTCTACTTCACTGCTGCCGGCACCGGCTCAACTGTCACCGTCCAGTCTGTTGGGACGAAGGCAGGGATTTCACTGGATAACTTTAAGGTAGGAAACCGTTTTCTGTTCATACTTTTACATTGCCGCCATCCATGAGGTTTCCTTTTCAAGGCTGTACTGTTAATACTTCTGAGATGGAAGTATTGTTTTTCGTGGAGCTGCTTTAGGATGAGTCTGTATGTGTCTTGTCCTCAGCAGCAAGGAGTGTGAGTGGGTAGAGGTTGGGTTTCAGTTGATTGACAGGGTTGTGACCCGGTATGCCCTGGGTGGTAGAAGGAAGTTGCCAGGAATGTGTACTGCTGTAATCATGGCATTAAACATAAACCAGGACCTGGTGTAATACCGGAATAAGTTATGTTTTACAATTGCATGTCATTGGGTAATAATCCATTCATTATGTAATTCAATCGGGTATTATCATGATCATACAGTACAGTTCCAATACATTAACAAGTTTCCAATGCAGTCTGAAATGTCTTTTGAAAAGGAAGATAGCATCTTGTAAGAAATGTGTCGTTCGAAAACACCACAGTGTATCAGACCAAATAGTGTCAACCTGTTTTACATGTATTTATTTTTCTCCTCGCCAGGTGGAGCCAGTGACCTACACCACCACCCACTTTAACTCCACGGCCGTGTATGAAGGCTACATCGACCTGACGGCCCAGACCCTGTCAGACTGGGGGTCGGTGTCGGCCAAGTGGAGCATGGTGGATCCTGAGTCTCCTATTGTGGACTACTCATGGGCAATTGGCACTACCAGAGGTAGTCTAAGTGGTCAATCTAACCGATGCAGCTTTAACACATTGATATTTTTCGATTGTTTCCCAACTTTCTGACGGCTAGGCTCGGAAAAGCGAGATATTTCCTATAACTTTGCTGCTTTTGGCCTTTGAGAAAATAGCATTTATACATTGATATTTGAGAATGTGTGTATGTATACTGAAAAGCATATCAATTGTAGCAGTTGTACGATTGTAGCATGTTGTATAATAATTTGTACATACATATGAGTTGGACTATTGCTAGTTTCAATCGATTCTAAGATTGTAATATAATTTTCATAAATAACAGTGAAGACACTCTAATTATGCTAATACTATTATAATAACTCGTAAGCAATATATTCATAACTGTATTTTTTATATGTCAGGAAAGTATGGCATTGTCTCGCTTTTGTAGAGAGTTTAATATGAATTGGTCTACATAATTAGCCATACTGAATCGTTATCTTTTTTTTTTGAAGGTGGAACCCAGTTGCAAGGCTTTGTGCCCCTTGGAGTCCAAGAGAGTGCACAGAACAGCAACCTGTTCTTACAACACGGGTCCTATGTTCACGTCACTGTGGTGGCCACCAATGGAGCAGGGGGGTCAGCAGGTGAACATCATAATTCTTCCTTCACATTCATTTCTTGTGATCACATATTTAGTAACAAGAAGCAACCATTGTAATATTAAGTTTATGAAAACAAAAGTTGGAGGCATTCTAGAGAACGTCATGGATTCGTCATACAGAGTTTAGCTGTCTTGTGACAGAAATATTGAAGTATATTTTTGAAAATCGTACAAAAATCATTTTACAGCACTTTAACAGTCGTCGACTTGGCTCTTTTTACCAATCTTACGTAAATATTGCTTTGCTGACAACCTGTGTAGCTTTGCTTCAGTGATTAGCCAATACTTACTGTTATACTGAAATACGACCAAAAGATGATTATTATTTTTTTATTCCAACATTTCATAACCAAACATGGCGACAGCACACTCAAGTTATATCAACTTAAGTTATGCCGCCATCAACACAGAGTACAAATACAGGACAGGACAATACTATTTTTACCTGAGGAAAGTCTTGTAAAGTGCCTCTCCTAAGGGAACAAGATCGGTGGCATGTCAGTACTCGAACCCGGGACCTCTTGGTTCCGAGTCGAGCACTCTGCCGCTACGCCACACGACCCCACGTATAAAACATGGTTATTTCTTTGCAGTGCTGTACTCTGAGCCAGCGCTGGTCGACCTGACTCCCCCGGTGATAGGAACTGTTTTCGACGGGCCTGAGCAGGATTCAGTCGACCTGGAGTACCAGAACAGTGACATCATCTGTGCCAGCTGGCCTGACGTCATTGATGACGAAAGCGGCATCAACTACTGTGAATGGGCTTTAGGTACGTTACTACTAAAATAAAATTAGGATGCGAAAAATGAAAAAAATACATATATAGCTGCATATGTGTTTATAGATTTGATGACCACCCCTGTGGTGTATACGCTGTCATGAGGCATGGTTGGTTCCTATAAACATCGAATAAGCCACCGAGTGAGCGAAGCGATTTGTGCAATAATGACTGGTGAATACAGATTAATAATAACCGATGGTTATGGCAAAATGTTGCCTTTTCATTTGTCATGTTCATCTGGCTATATGATAATGGTATGGCTGTATACCTTCTGTTAGTAGAGGTTGTGATCAGTTCCTAATTGTATATTCTTAGCATAACAAAATGACTGCTACAATAGTTACAAACTGTGTGTGTTTGATTGTACTCTACTCAGGTACATCCTCACATCTGGCCAACTTGATGAGGTTCACAACAAGCTACATCGAGGAAGACGGGAAATCCGCCTGCATTGATTCTCGTTCGTTCATCGCTCATGGCACGAAGGTTTATGTCATCGTGCGCTGTCACAACCACGCTGGACAGGTGAGTGATGGAAAGGAAAAGTATATAATAGGGTTAATGATCAGCCCTTTTGGTGTATATGCTGCCATAGGGCACGATGGGCTGCTAAAATCATCGAATAAACCACCGAGTGAGCGAAGTGGCGGGTTTTGTTTTCGCCGTGTCTACTTACCTGCTTCGGTTTTCTTACATGTCCTTCCTTTTACTACACTACAGAAGAGCGACTACTAGAGTCACAAAATGTTGGAGGGTAATGATGTAACCGCAGATTGACAGGAAGGTCCATTTAGTTGGAGGTAAAAAATGTTGTCAATTTTTTTCATTAGAGATTGTATCTCCTTAATCCTACAGTCAGCCACAGCCAGTTCAGACGGAGTTGTCCTGACCTCCGTGCCCCCCAGTATCGAGCACGCCTATGTGACGGTTGTGATCGAGCCGGTGACGCAGTACGCCCCCAGGAACCACTACCAGTACTCCCCGGACAAACTGCACATCGCCTGGGGAGGCTTCGAGGACCCGTCCGGCATTTCTTATTACGAGGTAAATGTTTGCTTTATACGTCGCTGAAAGACACTCTTAGGTCTTGTCCCTGTGGTATCACCGTTTCTAAGTTTCTACAAACAGACGAGCTCTCAGTCTTTATGGTCAACAGAAGCTTTAGGCGTTGAAGTTAAAGTTATGGAGTGAGTATTATCCTACTGTACCTCTATCTCTATGATTGTTCTCAAAATTAATGATTTCGACATTAAGGCTTATGACTGTATTTTAGATAATAGCGACTGAATCATACAAGATGCATAATCACCTTTGCCTAGTGTATGGGAGATGAAAATTTGCATACTTTCTGAGCTATAGATGGCAACATTAACCACTGATAATTTGTACATCACAACACTATCAAATAAGAACGTTATTTTATCGCCATAAACCCTTTAAAATCTATTATTTCTGTAGTACATGGTCAAATGTTCTATCATTTCTATAGTACATGGTTGAGGGTCCAGACTTCACCTCGGCTTGGGAAGAGGTGTCCTGGACAGGAGAGCACACGGCGACCCTGACTGACCTGCAGCTCGTTCCCGGGGCCACCTACATCGTCAGTGTCCGGTCTGTGAACTTTCTCGGGATGCAGAGTGACTCTGTCTCCACGGAGGTCAACATCGCGGTTCAGGGGAGGCCTTCTGTCAGCGGTGGGTTTATCTTTATCGTGTGATATATAAAACGACAAAGTCGATTAATAGACGATTATTAGACTTAACGTGACATTTTATCTGGACTTTTATCTATACATTTCTTTCTTTTTGAGTGATCAATATAGGGACAAACTGATGTTCAGTCCCCAATGTAAAGCAACTGTAAGTCATGCCATCACAGTGTTAGAAACTTTAAGAAGAAACTTTGCCCGCATACGATGTATTTTTGTTCAGGCGGACTACAGCTGACATGGGAAGCCCAAGGCACGATGTTGATCAACTGGGAAGGTGTCTTTGGCTCTTCAAATGCTGGTAAGTTAAGTGTGTACAATAGGCCTTTAACATATCTAAGTGCACGTGTATGTTTTGTTTAATCGTTTGTGACATTGTTGTTTTGCTCTACAATAATTAAGTCAACCAGTTGTTTGGTCATCTTTTTCCCTTGTAATTAGCCTCCATGCAAAAATGTGCAATAGAAAAACTTATAATGAAAGACAAAAACCATGAACTACATTGTATAATGTTTACCTGAGAATGCTGTAATGTTGTTTTTCTCAGACCTGTACTACGAGGTATCAGTGGGTCTGGTGGAGGGTGGCAGTAAGGCGGGACTTTGGTACGAGACGAAACAAACCAACATGACTGTCTCCAGTCTGGACCAGACAAAGGTAAGCTACATTTAAATACGTTTCTTAAAATAGCTAAAGATCCAAACTTTTTTTCGAAGCCATAAGGACCGTGAGTTGAGTATCCGCTGTGTCCAGTGTACTCTTTTAGATGGTGGAGCCCATCCCTCTCCCTCATCACCCTTTACCTCCCCAACCGAAGTCAGGTACCCGTTCACACCTGTGCGGAGTAGTCGTCTTCCCCAGGGACACATCTCTAGCTAGTAATGCCTGGGATCAAAGACGTGACCTGGCGATCTTGTATCCGGTAGCCATTTATATTCAACTATTGCTGAAAGATACATTAAAGAAATACATCAGAATAAAAACGACGCCATCAGCCAGAAATGTTGAAAGATTGAATTCGTATTTTGGTATCAAAAAGTTCACGACTCACGGCTTGTAAAATGTGTTTTTTTCACTGTATTTCCGATGTTAATTTTTCTATTTCAATCTGATTTTTCATGTATCCTTAGAGGAAAAAATCATTGAAGGTCTTATATTGTTATTGCAGGAATATCATATCACTGTCAACGCCATCAACAACGCTGGCATGTACATCACTGTGGTGGGCGACCTGGCGGGATGAAGTGGCATTACACTTTTAGTCACTAGAAGTCACGAAAGAAGCACGTGGGCTTAAGACAAAAAAATAAACAGAGTGTGCTGTGTTTTTATTGACATTATGTATCAGTCCTTACTCGGCTTAGAGTAAAAGAAAATCCATTTTTTAATTCATTGCCAGTTCAATTCTGAATTGTTTTTGCTTTGTTCTGCATTTTAAGTACTAGTATATATACATTTACTTTTAGTTTTGTCATGTACTTCATATTCCAAAGCAGTTTATGTCAATGTCAACTATTAACTTTTGTATTCTCTGTATTTTTGGAGACAAGGCAATAAAAGTGTTTTGTGTGCATTATAATGCTTCGACTATGCATTACCTGGGAAGTTATATTTTGTGTGGTTATAGCGGGGTAAGTTCGGATCATTGCAAAAACTCTTAAAAGATGGGCGGGTGTTCATGATTTTTTTAGACGAATTACTGTTGGAGAGACCAAGGTCAAGTTAAAAAATCAGCTGACGTGAGGAATGTTCTAATTTTGCTGTGTTATATCAATAGTATGTAGTATCATATTTTTGATTAAGATTTTTTTCTCATGGCCGAATTGATATTTTGTATTTATGATTAACAACAAGTAAAATCTGAGATTTTATACGTCCGGGCTTTTTATTGTATATTCTTATATGTTGTTTGTTATGTATAGTTGATGGTGTTAAACCTTATGTGTTAGACTTAGCGTTCCAGGATGTGTTAACACTGGTCAACATTTACACCTGCAGCTTAGAACATGTACCCACGAACTTATGAAATTCTATTTAATCTGCCGCAAGGAACTCGCAATGAAACTCAGAATGACAACCGGAACCGTTAAATCAGACGTTAAAAATAACCGGTAATCAATGTTACGACATACATACAAGCAAAACGCGGGCACATGGTGCGTATCCACAAATGCTTCGATCGAAAACATAGTGACTGGGCTTCGGTAAACATAATAAGTAAATATAGTTAAACATTATGCATTTGCTTTGCAAATGTTACCTTTCTAGTTTTTATTACCTCCATGACATGTCATGGGGGTTATATTTACCTTCGCCAAGAATATGTGTGTGTGTGTGTGTGTGTGTGTGTGTGTGTGTGTGTGTGTAGACACGATAACTTGAGAAGGCTTCAATGGATTGCCTTGATACTGGGTAGGTGGATAGGTGTTAATGAGAATTGGAAATGATTAGATTTTGGACCCCCTAGCGGCTTGTTATGGTACTGCAGCTGAACTTCCGGTTTTGATATCTCATGAAGGATTACCAACTTCACATTAATTATGCACGGCCGTTCTGCACACCTGTGTAAAAACAAGTTTGGTATGTTCCATTCAAAATGGCGAGTTCGTACGACGGGAATACTCTGGGCTGATTTTTTCACAACTTTCTGGGTACTTTTTAGACGTTTTCGTCTATGGAATGTCTTAGTAAGTGTGCAGCAGAATGTCTGGGAGTGTTCGCCGAGGATTTGTACCGTTCTGGTGATGTTTTGAACTAGAAAGTGCGGATTTTCTTCACCTGGGGAATTTCGGAGAAGACAAAAATGGCGAGACAGTTGGGAAGAGTAGCGACTTCGCTCTTGTTGCAGGTAAACCAGTACATTGTCTGGCTGACATTATTCCTTAGCAACTAGTACGAACATGTCAAGTTATATTCCGTAAGAAATTACCTATTTCTGTATTAGGGACGGGCCCTTCCTAATTTTAGACAGGCTTAGCAAAGTATCAAGTTGTCGCGTTTTCAACAACATTTTTTAATGTGTGGTGCGCTTGTAGAGTATAATACATTATATAAAATGTGTGTGCATGTCCTTTTAGTCAGTTGTTTAGCGTTTTGAGGTTATATTCGTTGAAAGAAATTGTGTATCGATCAAACCTTTTTCTTTATCTCCACGTGGTTCAAAACACCTGTTGGAATGTGGCCGTGTACATAATTAGCTATTTTTGCCGCCAAAAATTTGCGTAAACAAGATGGTGGCCTCAAAGCTTCAGGACGCCATGGATACGATACAAAACGGTTGAAACTAGTTATGTCGAGGTGACCATACTTTCGTTCTGCAATTATCATCTGCAATGTATTATGTACAATTGAAAAGCTTGTTCGTTTCCATTTTAGAGCAATTCAGTCAAAATAGTATCAAAATGACCAAGACCACGTATTTTTGGCACAAACACGGATCTGCCTATTTACCGGAATACACCGGAAAACACATATAGGAGGCTTAATTCTACCGGAATACACCCTGCATTGATGAGATAACGGCCCAGCTAAACACTGTTGATTTTCACTTGTTCTGTCCTTGCACTTGTCTACGTCCATCCCTACCGTATAAGGCTTACCCTTTGTTTGCACACAGTTACTAATCCGCGCAGCTGCTAATAATCCTCTTCATAGAGGGATGAGCAGTATCGAAGATGATGATTTAAGGCTCCTATATGTGTTTTCCGGTGTTTTTCCTGTGTTTTCCAGTAAATAGGCAGACCGTACTGATAGAAACTCTAAGTACCCATAGAAACTCGAAATACACACACACACACACACACACACACACACACACACACACACACACACACAGATTGTACCTATGGTCTTTCGTAGAATCCACCGGACTGCTTTTTCCACCCCAAATAGGACTGGACTTCTTTTTCTGCAAACCTCACAAACACTACAGTTGACTATGCTGGAAGGTAGCAATTCCTGTTTTCAAAACATTTTGCGCCGAGTGCTTTCGTATTCCACATAAAATTTCAGTTAAAGGGGGTTGATTTATTTTATAGTTGTCTATCCACGATTTTTATGGTCATTATGTACAGTTTTCGAGGTATGTGTTTACTTTAAAGTAAAGATATTATATATAAGTTTAAGGTGTGTGTGCATTGCTAGTTTTTCAATTGAGAGAAGTGTTCAACTTATAATGTATGTATGGTTAGATGATGGCTGATGCAGTAGTGAGAACTTCTGTCTGAACCTGACAAGACAGACTGGACGAACGATTTGAAGACTGAAGAGGAATATCATCAGGTGAGAAAAATCTGAAATCTGCATTTTTACCTACAGTTAATTTGAGTTGAGACAAGTGTGTAACTTCGAATGTCTGTATATAGTTAGGTGATGACTGATGCAGTAGTCTGTCTGAACCTGACAAGACAAATTGGACCAGACCAGATGATTTGATGACCTAAGAGGAATATCAGGTGAGGAAAATCCCAATTCTGCATTTTACCTACCATTTACTTGGTACTATTTGAGACAAGTACTAGTTTGTGTAACTTGTAATGTCTGCATAGTTAGGTGGCTGCCGACTGATACAGGAGTGAAGACTACTGTCTGAACCTGACAAGAGAAGAATGGACCAAATCATTTGAAGACCAAAGGAGAATATCAGGTGAGAAAAATCTGAATTCTGCATTTTACCTACAACTATTTGGTGTTACTTTAAGCAGATGTATAACTTCTAATGTCTGCATACTTTTGATTAGTTTTAGGTGCCTGCTGGCTGATGCAGTAGTGAAGACTGTTGTCTGAACCCGACATTGGGCCACATCAGAATAATCCTGGACATTTGAAGGTCCAAGAGGAATATCTGTTAGGTAAGAAAAATCCCAATTATGCATTTTACCTACAGCTGTTTGGTCATATTTGAGACAAGTGTGTAACCTTCTATAAATGTCTGTATAGTTAGGTGTCTGCTGACTGATGCAGTAGTGGTGAATTCTTCGTAAACCTGACAAGAGAAGATTGGACCAGACCAGGTGATTTGAAGACCAACGATGACTCTCAGCTAAGGTGAGAAAAATCTGAATTTTGCATTCAACCTACTAGTTATTTTGTTATTTGAGACAGGTGTGTAACTTCTAATGTTTGTATAGTTAGGTGGCTGCTGACTGATGCAGTATTGCAGACTACTGTCTGGACCTGACACGAGAAGATTGGACCAGATGGGGTGATTTAGAGACACAAGAGCAAGATGACGACAACAACATCCACGGGTGAGATAATGATTGCTTTTGAAGATCTGTTTGACTCTAGCACTCTTCCCTTATGTCTTACACTTTATAAAAATAACACACATGTAGCAAAACATCTTTTACATTAATTTTGAATTGCCTTTGACTTGAATAAATGACTAGTATATTAGACTTCTTGAGCACTTGTCAACATTTCTAGGAAGAGCAAATAAAGGGTCGCATACATGTAAGAGTTCATCTTTACCTGGTTGCTAATTACCCCTTCATATGCAATAGCCATATACCTGGCATCAATTGTTCTTTTATAACTATGTACTAGGTATAATAGGGTCAGCAGTCCTGATGTTCCTGTCCAAACCAGACTAGATGAGACAGCTGACTTTGAAGTTGAAGACAGAGTGAAGAGTTTGTACAGGTGAGGCAATGCTTTCCAACTTTATTTTTTCTGTGTGTTAAGAACTGAGAGGCAATAAGAAGCTACTTTTAACATATTGTACATATCTAAGCAATCAATCAACCGCAAGCATCATCTAAGCAAAGAGATAGTTAAATTGAAGGATTTTATCATTATCTTTCATAGTCACCTAGTTGCCTGGAAATTTTTTGGGGGAGTATCACACATCACACTAATTATTCATTATATTAGTTAGGTGTGTCCTGACGTTCCTGTCCTGACTGGGAAAAACCTGCGATGACGGCTGAGCAAACCAGTTGACCTGAAGACACAGAGTTTGTACCTGGTTATGCAGGTGAGACAATACTTAACAACAGTGTCATAGATTTTTCCTATGTCTTATTAAGAGCTGTGGCATAGCCTGCTACCAGTAACACTTTGAAAAGCCTATCTTTCTGTGCATCGATTCAAGCAACTTGCTTGACAACTTACATGACTTATTCCTTGCCTCACATGTTATCATCAATAAGAACTCTGAGGTGTAACATGCTACAAGTACAATACATTTTGTAACACTTTTAAAAGTAGCAGTTTTCTAGAGCCTAACTCTTTCAAAATCTATTCAATCAATGGGATAGTTGAATTGCATGATGCCATCATTAGTTTGGTTATTAAGTGTTGCCTGGGGACGTTTTTCCATCACAAATCCTTTTATATTATTTTTAGGTGTGTGCTGAGGCTGTCCAGTCTTAGGAGAAACATGCGATGATATGTCAACAAACCATTTGACTTGAAGATGCAGAAGGAAATGAAGACAGCAAAGCAGTGAGAGAAAACAGTGGACACAGTTGTAACTTGTGAGTATAGTTATTTTTGGTCAGCAACACACCCAGGCTACTAAATTTCTATCCTATAATCCAATCATCCAGTCACTACAGGTTTCACTGCTTTAAATTGCATAGTATGTCACACTTTTCTAGACTCCTTTTCACATCTTCAAACAATTGGTCTGACATAAGAGGTTACATTGTATAATGTCTCCAGTATAACCTCCTGGGTCCCACATTGCACTTTTAGTCATTTGAGATACAGCACGTCACACTTTCTGCACTGT